ACGTATATATGATTGAGCAGTCCGACGATTCAACAAATATTTATGGTAAGTTGTGGTAAATTTAACAAGAAAATGTGGAGTTAATTGTAATACAAGTGTGACATTCCGACCAGTCTAGTATAATATTCTATATCAAATTGATACTAATTGATAAACTAGTTTTAAGATATAACAACTTATCAACTAGTTAATATACTATTATTTCATTTATATAAATACTTTGATAAATAAAATTCTCAATGAATATTTTTAATTATCACATAAATAATCACTTAAGACAAGATCGAGCCTTTTTTAAGAGCTCAACTTACTAGATGATAATTATTTAAATATATAATCTTATTTAAATAAATTATAAAGTGAATGATACGGCTTACAAAAATCTATTTAAATAAAAAAAGCTTATAAATTATTTACATAAATTATATAGTAAATGATAGTGTTTACAAAAATCACTTTTAGCGTCATTAGTTTTCATTTTCTCAAAATGTATTCAATTCATATTTTTAATAGGTATTATTATCAATTTTCATAATCAGATACATTTTCCTACTAATAATTTAAACGTTATGACAAATGTAACAATTTAATAATATTATGAACTAGGATGTGAAATATGTTTCATGACTTATCTTATCATTTCCTTAGTTTATAATTTAGTGATATGTATTCAATCTTATTTATAACAATTTTCATAACACTTTTTTGTCTTTCACTCAACATTTTCAAATGTAGATAGGTAAAAGGTCAAATAATTTTTGAAGTAATAGATTTGACAAATATATGATTTTTTAATAATATTATGACAAATATATTTTATTGAAACTTGTCTGATTTTTTTTTCTTTTTTTATCTTGTTCATTTGTTTAGTTTATCTTCCTAAAATAATACATATGGTTTGTTTAGTTTAATATTATTCATATTTATTAATCCAATAAAAAAATAGGTATTGCTGAAAATTTCTTAAGGCGCCTAACTAAAAATTTAACGAAAAAATTTAGCGGGAGTTTATTTTAGAATCAGTACAAAATATTTTAGGAACTTAGGCTAGGTTTTCTTGAGGTTCCACCAAAGGAGAAGAGAAAAGAAGAAGATGAACAACTAAAAAATCCACTACCTCATTTCGTCCACTCATATCATACTGGCAACCCCTCCTCCAACCCGGATAGGTAGGCAGAAAGGGTAGTGCACGAAGGACTCTCCCTTAGAAGAGGAGTCCGAGTGAACAGGGAAGAGAGGGCTTCATCTAATAGTAGCCCGAACAGGGACAAAAGCACGAAAAAAACCGACTACAATACCTAATTAGAGAGGTGAACCAGGAAAGCTCGTATAGGCACGAGAGAGCAAGGAAGAGATAAACCAATCAGTCTTGCATAACAAGCCTGAAACCTATTTTGTACACGCATAAAAGGTAAGGTCTCTATTTTGTTCACGCCGACGCTCACTCTCTCCATTTTTTTTCGTCTATATTGTGTAGTGAAATTGATAGTCGAGGACTACGACTTCGTGCAGAGCTTTGTCATAGGAGGTATGAACTTCTCCATGTGACCCGCCTGTAGCTATCAGAAATTATTATTGGGAAATTAATGATTATTGTTTCTTTAATTTATAGCTTTTGGTTGTATGACTTATTAAATCATGGGTTATGTTATATGTGAGTTTCTCATTTGAGTTTTTTTTCAACCACCCTTTCATCAGGAAGCTAGTTGTCCGTCTCGGTTAATGGGAGTCGTCATTCATTACACTTGAGTTAGCCGATGTTTTACTGTCTGCTGGGGATCTTTAGATCTTTCATTTAATATGATCATAATGATTTTAGCATGTTCAGGGGTTGCTACTGTCACATTGTATTTGTGGGTTATGGCCATGGCTATGAGTTCTTCTGACTTGCCATGACAACCTCTTTTGCTCTGGAAGGGTTGTTTTTTTCTTTTTTATCAAAGCTCTAGTTTTTTACAAGTTACTCTTGTTGGGAACTGTCCTATTCAACCTTCTCATTAATGATTTTACCATTTGTGCTTGTACTCTTGTTTTCTAAACATTTAATCCATTATCATGAATAAAAAGTGGCAATTGTAGCTTTGTTTGAAAATTGGAAATTTGATTAAGTTTAAACTACTCTTTTATATTCTTCAATTTTTCTAACCAATATTCTTTAATTTCAGGCACATATTCTGCAAGAACAAGATATGATTTGGAAGTTGGAACTATTTGTCCACTGCTGATACAATGTAATATACTAATGTGTTAAATATGGTTCTGATGGATTCATCCTTTATTAATGTGAGCAGGATGGTGAGAAACTACCTTACTAAAATGTTCCCAAGTAAAAGAAAACACGAAAAACAAGTACTGAACTTGTCACAGTTGTTGGCTAGAAAAACAATAGAAAAGAGAGCGCGAGAGGCTCTATGAGATGCTGGTAGAACTTCTTTGTTCACTTACATGTCAACTCTTGAAGTAACTTTTTAGAAAGTGTGCCAATGTCAAAACACAATGAATTATTGTACTTTTCATTTGAAACATGATGAGCATGTAATTGGTGTGGTATCAATTATTTTGGTTTTTACAGGTATTGAAAACGCAAGGCTGCATAGATGTGGAGCAGGAGAAACCATACGGTGATATTTGTGTGCGGGAGACTTGTAAACTGAAGCAGGCCTCTCAAGCTTAAATATAAAAGTAGAGCTTGACATGATGAGACTGTTTATAGAGATTGTGATTTGTGAGCAAGAACAAAACAAACCACATTTAAGAGTGTTGGTTGTAATTATTCAGGGGTGATTCCATGAATGGGAATTTGTATACTTTGTCAGCATTTGTAAATTTCATCAAAAATTCACTTCGATCACAAATTACTGCTCAAGTTTTGAAGAAAAGTGGACACGCAGAAAGTTATTAGTTACATAACCCGCAGAAAGTTATTAGTTACATAACTCACGCACATTATACATGTGTGAGATGTTCTTTTCATATCTAACACACATTGAAAACTTATGTTCCTCGGCCCACAAACTTGTGAATCTGTTAATAGCTATAATATAATGTACCAGCAAAATATATCACTCTATCAGATACAAGATGATTATCAGTCACTCGAAGATCCGTCATCATCATCATCTTTATGGTCCCTCGCAGCCCTCTCCACAAACTTCTTCCTGACTCCAGCAAGTACGGCCTCTCTTTGGATTGCTCTCCGCCTTGCCCATCATTGAGTACAACGTGACTGGTTTCTCAATTTAAAAAATGGGCACATAAATCATCCAAATAAAATCCAGCATCCAGATAGATTGATTGTTCAATAGATATCTCAAATTTCTCAAGGAGAATACATGAGAAGTACTCAGCAACTCATGCCACTAGAAACTATCATTTGTTCTAGACAAGACAACTCAAGCCAGACCAGCTGATCGATCAGCTCTGTAAACGCCTGTCTGTTCACCGTCCTCTCACTTTCTATAGTATGGTAAATCTCAAGAGCACATAAAGAATACTTGCGGGATAATAAAAATTACTTGTGCAAGACAAGATGACTCAGTATCTCAAAAGCACATAAAGAAAAACGACATACTTTCAGGGGTGCACCAACGACCAAAATCTGTATCCCCACACGAGTTGCCTTCACAGCACCATTGTAATACACCAATATAGTAGGAAGATTACGATCAAGATAGTTGTGGAATACATTCTAAAGATATTATTTTGACAAAACTTTGTCGCGTGGTATCTTTTTGGCAGATATATATACATAAAGGGAAATCACACAGCTCAGCTATCCATGATAATTTACGAAAGAGAATAATGCTATAACATCACTATTAACCAGAATGTCTTGTGTAAGATATAAGGTATGGTTATCTATAGATAAAATAAAAGCTTAGAAGCCAAAAGCTAGCTAATGCATTAGTACTACTCTAATCAATATGTACTCAAATTATTAACATTGTTTTATGAAAATCTACGCCAACAATCTATGGCATATTCAAAGTTGAATAGAACAAAAATGCTACACTTGAATAGTGGACATAATTATAAGAACACAAAAGAAAATAAAAAGAGATATCCATGAGCAACTTAATATAAGAACCATAATAATAGTATATCATAACCCGACAAAGGAAAATTAACAACAGTAACGTTGCATCAGCCTCTTAAATCTCACATTAAAATTCAGATAATGTAAATACTGAAAGTAAAAAATGCTGCTATACTCAAGAAACATTTGAACTTACACTACTTCATGTAGTAGAATATCCATCTGTAAGAGCAACCAATCACCCCCTTAGATTGCGATCTAGCCTGTTATTTGATAAATCAAAATCACACAACTCATCCTCATAATTTCCAGCATGAGCAGACTTTATTTTTTCTTTTATTCTTATGTCTTTTACGCTTCTTGCATTTTCGATTAACTGATGACTTTCCGTCATAATCTGATCCACAATCATTTGAAAACTCATCATCATTTACCAAAGTATACTTGTCCGACTTGCGGAAATTTATTTTATTGTTGATAAACAGACTCCCAGGAATCAGGGGCACGAAGATTAATTTTTTAATCAATATTAATTTTTTAATCAATATTTACCATGATTCAGAAGATAAGAAGCAACCCGAAATTGATCCACACAAACACAATAAATGTCCAAAAAACTCCAAAGACACATTTGCACAACCATATGAAGCATAAAGCATAAGTAAATCTCCAAACTTCAAAAGGAATCAACACACAAGATTGTGCTATTGCAATTTCAGCCATGCGTAAAGACAGTCAAGCAGAAGAATCAACAAAAATGCTAGCACAACATGCTCGATACAAATGCATACTAAAATCAAACTCAGTACGATATTAACAAATATTAAAAATTGAGAAAATTCACTGGCCATTTTTGCTGGTGGACGATGGAGTACACTACGAGTCTCATTCTCGTCTGTTAATGAGGCACCGTGCCTGTGAACTCCTCCATAGTTTTACCCTGGAAAATATTTAAAGCAAACACACAAATCAAAAGAGTTTTTTGCTGAAGTGATTCAATAAATCCTGTTAAAAGGAAAACCCACCAAACCCTAGCCGAAGCAAAGCGGCCGCCAACAATCTCCACTTCGCGCTAGGCTACTCTCTGTTGTCAGGGTGCCGCATATGACTTCACCTCCATCAATCCAAGCCGCCGTCGTCGCACGGTGTAGACCGACCGCCGCCATCGGCCAGAAGCCGCTGGAAGAACCAAGGTTCGTGGCGGCAAATATCGGAGCACACGAGGTTGAAAGCAGGGGAATCACACCAAAGTTTGGGGAATTCACTAAGAAATTGAAGAACAACTTGGAACAAGAACAACAATCTAATTCGTAAATTAAATATGTTAAGAGGTTGTGATGATATATTTTTGTATTTGAAGGATTGTTATACAAATAATATAAATGTAAGGTTTTTTAAATAATTACAATTATTATTTTATAAGTTATTTTAAATTTTAATGATATAAGGGTATAATAGGTTTTTTGCCATGTACGAGGTGTACGAGTCAAGTACGAGGTAATACATGTACGAGGCAAATTCTTTTTTGCCTCGTACATTGAATATGTGGTTGATATTCAATTTTGAATTAATCTAATGGTCAATAAAGGGGTATCTGATGTTAACTATGTACGAGGGGCACTTGACTATAGAAGATCCCTTCAATCTTTACCAATTCTTAGCCTAGGAAATTCTCTATTCCCCCGAAAATGATGGATCACACGCTTTTAAGCCTGGCAAAAAATTATCAAAGCACAATTTCTATGGGTTATAAACTTCACCCAGCAAAAGAACTAGTGAATTTATGAATCTTCCGGCAAAAGTAGCATATACATTAAATAATTCTGCACAACAATTCTACCAGAGAATGAAAACTTCATGCATAATTGCTATGACAAATAATTTGCTACACAATATGAAGTACCAGGATAATAAGAGCATCTCCAATGTTATAGCTTTGAAAGACAATTATTTTTAACACATGTCAATCAATGATTGTAATGTTAATCCATGTAGGAATAATGTTAAAAGAGTAGAAATTTGAATCAAACTAGTATCTCCAATGCATTAATTTGATATCAAGTTATTTGTATAGGTGGACCAATTAAAATAATCATTAATACAAGAACAATAAAAAATTAAATCAAATATAAAGTGAATTGATTAGTCATCATGTTTAACGTGGTGTTAGATATTAGAAAGTGTGTTCAACATTGTCAACATTAAATGCTATCCACCTCATCATGAAAGAGTTCATGACAAGATGCATTGGAGAATAAATTAGTAACACACTTTCAAAAATTGATGATATGGATGAATTTTTATAATGTCAAAAGTCACATTGGAGATGCTCTAATAGCCGGATTTGAGTGATGACAGTTGATTGATAAATTATCCGTAGTCACTTAAAGAAAGCATATCTCCATGCCTTCTCGTGTAACAAATATATGAGCTATAATTATTCACACATAAGTTCCAGAATTTCAGACCCTAAATACTCTTATATTCTATAGTGTACAGAAATATTAAGCTTCACAGACCCACATATAGTTTTCAGTTCTATCAACGCTCATTTAATTTCAATGTTCCAAATAAAGATTTTTCATACAACTTAAACAAGTATTTGGGTTTATTAGGTCTAAATATCTTAAAATATGATCATAAGTTGCCTTCTCTGATATTTTTGCAAAATTCTCACTAACATTTTAGAAGACATCAACTATATCTCACACAAAAAGTACAATGGGCTCAACAATACATATCAATTAAAAGCGAACTTCAGCAGTTAGGCAGCATAAAAGATGGAGGAACAAGAAATAAGTAGCTACGTAGATCGGACATAAACTTTCCAGTCTCTACATTAAAAGAATTTCACGTAATGTGGGTTAGTCAAACAACGAGAGACTGCCACATAATTGGATAAATTCACATTCATAATACATGTGTCCATATGATAATTAAAAGCCAACTTTCTGGTGTTCTTACCCGTTGTGACTTCCGTGATTTCCCAAAGGATTAGACGAAGAACTCCATAAGGTAAATCCATGTCATCATGAACCTACAATAACAAAATATCATCAAGCATTACAAACTCAGAACAACAAAGTTCTTTGATAATGAACAACAACCAATTAGAAAATATGTAGAACCAATTAATCCATAAGACAATACCACTAGCACTCTATTAAGAGGAAGACATGTTGTGGTAACATCTCAAGGTCATAAACATAATTGAGAGATAATAAGTTTCTATTACTCACAAGAATAAAAACAAGAGATTTACAAACTCTAAACAAAAAACTCTCAAACTCTTCCACAACTCTTCTTGGTTGTGTTTCAACACTCTCAAGGTTGATTGATAACACTCTTGGATGATTTGAATGAATGAAATAACAAGCCTATTTATAGGCAAGATTGATCACACCATCGTTGACAATTGTATGTGAATGAAGAAGGTTGGTGGGAATCACTTCTCCATTGGTGTGCGTAAATATCTTCATGTGTGTGCCATTGAAGGTTTGGTGGAGGTGCATGGAACTTTCAATTCTCCCCTTTCCATGCATGTTCTGAACAAGCATTCCTACTATGTCTCTGCATAGCTTAAGCTTATCCAGTGTAACTACTTTTGTCAACATATCTGATGGATTCTTATTCGTATTGATCTTCACTAGTTTCAACAGCTGTTGATCAATCTTCTCGCGTATCCAGTGATACCGAACATTAATATGCTTTGTGCGGGCATGGTACATAGAGTTCTTGCTTAAGTCAATAGCAATTTGACTATCACAATATACTTTATACTCTTTCTGCTTGATCCCAAGTTCATGGAGATAGCGCTTTAACCACAACATTTCTTTACCAGCTTTAGCGGCAGCAATATATTCAGCTTTTGTTGTGGATAAAGCAACACATTTCTACAATCTTGATTGCCAAGAAATGGCTCCCCCTGCAAAAGTGTAGACATAACCCAAAGTAGACTTTCGACAATCAATATCTCCGGCCATATCAGCATCAACATATCCTTCCAAGATTGGATCAGCTCCCCCGTAACAAAGACATAACTTAGAAGTACCCTTCAAATATCTGAGAATCCATTTGACTGCCTCCCAATGCTCCTTCCCGGGGTTAGAAAGAAAACGACTCACTACACCCACTGCATGAGCAATATCTGGCCTGGTACATACTATTGCATACATCAAACTTCCAACTTCTGAAGAGTATGGCACTGCAAACATTCCCCCACCTCTTCCTCGGATGTGGGACATGATCTTTTGCTTAACTTGAAATGATTCGCAAGTGGAATACCCACTGGTTTGGCATCACTCATATTGAATCTTTCAAGTACTCGTTCAATGTACTTCTCTTGAGATAGCCACAACTTGCCGTTCTCTCGGTCTCGAGTAATCTGCATCCCAAGAATCTGTGGAGCCTTTACTAAATCTTTCATATCACAAGACTTAGAAAGTTCTTTCTTCAGCTGACTTATCTTCTCTGCATCATTCCCAACGATCAACATGTCGTCGACGTACAGTAGAAGAACTATGAAAGCCCAGTTTGAGTATCTCTTGATGTAAACACACTCATCTGCAACAGTCTTCTTGTAACCTTGACTCTGCATGCATGAGTCAAACTTCTTATTCCAATGCCTTGGTGCTTGCTTCAGACCATACAAGCTTTTAGATAGCTTGCACACGAGGTTCTCACTTGAACCTCAAAACCTTCTGGTTGTTGCATATAGATTTCATCTTTCAAATCTCCGTGAAGAAAAGCTGTCTTCACATCCATCTGTTCAAGCTCCAGGTTCATACTTGCTGCCAAGCCAAGTATGACTCGAATTGAGGTCATCTTGACAACTGGTGCAAAGATCTCGTCAAAATCAATCCCTTTCTTCTGCTGAAAGCCTTTGACAACCAATCGAGCTTTGTGTTTCACCACTTGTCCATTTGCATCTTTCTTCAGTTTGAACACCCATTTGTTTTTCAAAGCCTTTTTCCCTTCTGGAAGTTTAACAATCTCATAAGTTTAATTTTTCTGCAAAGAATCTAATTCTTCCTGCATCGCAATCATTCATTTTTCTTTATCCTTATGAGATATGGCTTCTTGAAAACTCTCTGGTTCTCCATCTTCTGTCAATAGAAGGTATTCAGATGATGAGTACCTTTTCGATGGTATATGACCTCGTTCAGATCTACGAGTGGGTAGAACCATCTGAGAAGAACTTCCAACGTTGGTGTCTGGCAAAATGGGTTGTGGCTCCTCTTGCTCAGGCAAGATGGGTTGTTGCTCGCCTTGCTCTGTCAAGATGGGTTGTTGCTCCCCTTGCTCTGCACTCTCTTCTGTCTCCTCGTCTCCTTCTGGTACATCATCTTCATTATTTCTCCAAAACAATTCTGGTACTTCATCTGAAACTTTAGCACCCACATTTGACTTATGAGACATCTTGGGCTTTTCTATGTCTTCTATTGTCAAATTCTCTTGGAACACAACGTCCCTACTTCTGATCAACTTTTTCTCCTTTGGATCCCAAAATCTGTATCCAAACTCTTCATCTCCATAACCAATGAAAATGCATGGGATAGACCTCGCATCGAGCTTCTTTCTGAGCTCTTTGGATACATGTACATATGCTACACAACTAAATACTCTGAGATGTGAGTATGTCGGATCCTTACCAGTCCATATTCTCTCTGGAACTTCAAAATTTAATGGAACTGAAGGTGATCGGTTGATTAGATAACATGCGGTCTTGACAGCTTCTCCCCAAAATGGCTTTGGTAATTTAGCCATATTCATCATGCTTCGGACACGCTCCATGATAGTCCGATTCATTCTTTTAGCAACGCCATTGTGCTGAGGGGTACGTGGTACTGACTTCTCATGTCGAATGCCATATGCCCTGCAATATGCATTGAACTCCTTGGAAGTATACTCGCCTCCATTATCAGATCAGAG